CATGGTGCTGAATAATGTACTTGGAATAATTTCCTTCTGTTACTATTTAGTAATGTCTTGTGCATGTACAATTATTATATAAATATTAGTTGTTGTAGCGTGAATATATATTAAATCTCACACCGCCGATATGAAAAGCCACCAATTCTCTTTCTTAAATTATAGTGGATAAGCTACCGTGTATAACTATTTTTAAATAATAAAATATACAAATGAATTTAAATAAATAAAAAGTATTATTAATGTACATTCGTTTACTATCCCGCGCGTCAGTACCGAAATTGTATGATACAACGACCTATATTCTACATACTCACCAAGGTTGTTGGATGAGGTGTTATAAAGTTCCTCTCATCGAGTCTGCCGCATTTACAAGATGTGTGATTCAATACCATATATTTATAAAACTTCCTTTTGCGGCTAGAATCTCGTTTGTTATTGGTAAGATCTGGAACAACTATTTCGATTTCTGTCATCGTTTTTTGCACTGGATAGCAGGACGAATTATAATTTAGTGCGAGAATGGAATCAGTTTCAACGCAACGGTAAACTTCAATGAAATACGGATATCGTGAACTCGGAGTGGTGAATTCATCATTGTAGATGGATACCACTTCCTTTTGGAGCTCTATAAAACAAAAAAAAAAACACAAAAAAACAATGACGTATTGGTAGGCGATAAATCCTTCTTAATTCAGTGTTGAGAAGTATTACGGTAACTATCTTAATCTGGTTGATAACAAGTTGCTGTAATAAACATAACTGCTATTTATAGATAATTAAGCTTGGCGACGAGAATGGCTGAAGGACAAGCCGAGCCACAAGAAAATATCACAGTAAATACGCAATCGGTTTCACTACAACCATTGCCAGAATTTAATCCAGACGTTGATGTTGGCGAAAGCTTAGGCACGCGCTGGAACATTTGGATCCAAGATTTCGAGATGTTCATCCTCGCTAGTGGGATTACGGATGAGAAAAGAAAACGCGCATTGCTATTATATCAAGCTGGCAAACGGGTTCGCGAGATATTTAGACAAATACCTGATACGGGAGACGCAACTGATTACAAAGCTGCGAAAACAAAGCTACACGAATACTTCCAACCGCAAGAAAATCGCCGATACGCGGTAAACTGCGCAGTTTACCGCTTTAGACAAGCGAAACAAGAACCGAACGAAACCCTTGATCAATTCCATACACGACTACGGACATTAGCACAGACTTGCTCTTTCCACAACGCAGATTTCGAAATCGAAAAACAAATTATTACGGCTGGTTCATCTTCACGGATTCGAAAAAAGGCATTAAGAGACCCAACATACGATCTGAAGTCAATACTCATGCATCGATGGTCGCCGTGCCGAGATGAGTACATTTCAAGCGCGAGACATCCAATCAAAAAACACAGATACAGATCGTGTTAACAAAGTATCATCGAAAACAACATCGAAAACGTGTCACAATTGCAGTGGTACGTATCCTCATGAAGGACAATGCCAAGGTAAAGAATGTCGGAAATGTCAAAAGCTCAACCATTTTGCTCGAGTGTGTCGAGGAAAGATGCAACGTCAGACAAAAGCTTTTCAACATGAAATGAAACCGAAACAGAAATACAAACGACCACTAAATCCACTAAATGAAGTTCAGAGCGAGACGGACAGTTCTGACAACGAATATCTATACACAGTTTCTAATGACAAGACCCCCAAAGTCAATGTTAAAGTATGCGGACGATCGTTCAAAGCTACCGTAGACACAGGCGCAACGATCAATGTCATCGACCGAGGTACATATGAGAAAATACCAGGAATAGAATTAAAGAAAACGAACATAAAAGCGTTTGCGTATACTGCTAGCAAGCCAGTAAAGTTCATTGGCAAGTTTGAGGAAGCTATTGAGACTCGCCGTCGAGTTGCAGTGGCAACTTTTTACGTCGCAGAAACGACAGACAGCGGAAATCTAATATCAGCAACAACAGCAGAGGAACTTGGCCTGGTAAGTTTTCATCTTAACAAAGTAACTGAAACAAAAGATCGTGAACTCCAAAATATTCTAAACAAACATTCAAAAGTTTTCCACGGGTTGGGTAAACTCAAGCAAGAGAAAATCAAATTAAACGTTGATAAAACAACAACACCCCGAGCACAGCCACAACGCCGAATTCCCTATCACATACGTCAGAAGGTCCAGAACGCGATAGAACAACTAGAGAAAGACGATATTATTGAACGGGTACCAGAAAACCAACCTACACCTTGGGTATCGCCAATTGTAGCAGTACCGAAAAAGAACGGGGACGTTCGTATATGCGTCGATATGCGCGCTGCCAACGAAGCTATAAAACGGATACGACACCTTATTCCAACAGTTGAGGACATCAGCTTTGAGTTAAATGGAGCAACTATAGTATACTGAATAGCAGTTATACAGCTGAACAATATTCAAGCCTAAATATTTTCAATATCAACCTGGCTATTATTTATTTAAATTTTTCTAGGTCTATCCATGAAATTGACCCAGCCAACTTGAAAATATTGTCAAGTGGACGAAAAAATAAAATTGGTGAGGGGACATTTGGCATCTGTGTAAAAAAGATGTACAGAGGGCATGTAGTTGCTGTGAAACAGTTTAAAAGCCATACAAGTAGAACTGATGTGGAAAAGGAAGCCATGATGATTAATTCATTTGATCACCCTGGTATGAAAATGATTAATTATTATGATTACAGCATACTTGAAACTTACGGCACTGTAACAGAGTTTACGTGGATAGTTGGGAGGGGTGTGTATATTCATATATTCATGTTCATATTTACATGGATATATTAATACACCCATCCCCCCACACCACCAATTATCAATGTTGGGGATAGGCCTGTTTACCGTTAGGTATGATCATGTGGAATAATGATTAGCAGTATGGCAACTCTTCTAGCAAAACTGATCCTGAAGTTTGTATTTTCACTCAAAATTTAAAGCTGAGAAACTTCTGCTTTAATAGTTGATTGTTCATGATCAACTTCATTCAATGTCTCTGTATTCAGATTGTGTAAAATTGTACTGTACATGGAAATACAAGAAGACTCATGACTTATTTTATTTATTTATAATTTCAAATACTTTTCTTATATAAGGTTTGCCATTTCTGTTTGGTATCAATGTACAATCAAAGCCATACATATTGGTTACTGAATTTTATGGAATTGGTGGACAGTGTGCTAATAATGATATAGCTGTATATTATGGACTTGCATGCAAAACACTCTCACCTTTGAAACTGTAACTGTTACAATCACTTTCTCCGTCTGTGTCGGATGAAGACGTTGAAGAATCTTTCTTCAAACTTCTCTTCAGCTGGCGAGATTGTTTTAAAGCCATATGTCTACGGAATGTTGTTTCCGAAACGTTTTGTTCGCAGTGGTCGCAAAACACGTAACTGTTCGCCTTATCCATATCGTATTATAACTGCCACGCACTTTGGCCAAATTTATATAAACTTGTATATCAATCACTTCCGCACTTTATAATTATACTAATGAGCGAATTTGCACAATAAGAAGTCTTTCTTATTTCTTGTATATTGTCCGACAGTGTCTCGAAGTGCTTAAATTCAGGTGAAATAAAGGCGCATTATAGCATTACGTTACTCGATAATAACAAACGTATCAGATATCATCATGTTTATTTGTTACCATATAATTGTTGCAATAACAATATATTTAATCCTATTAAATTGCCGTCCTAACGGAATTAAAGTAGGTGTCAGGTTTTGTCTTCATTTAAAATCAAATTAAAGGTGATTAAATGCTATCTCTGCCTTTAATCAACATTTAAACAACTGGTTAAAGTTTATTAAACTATACGCGCACTAATGTCGGCTTTAACCCACTTTAAAATGCTCACTAAATGCAATTAAATCTATCGGTTTCCAAAAGAGATGTTTTATTCAAAATAAATGCGATTAAATGTAACTTTTTCTTTAATCACCTTTAGTCGGCTTATTAAAAGTTATAGATACGCATTTAATACCTTTAGTATTTTTGCTAAAGCTAATTAATGGCACGCTTTTCGTCCTGTGGTGTTTTTCCAAATTAGACCTTACACAGGCCTATCATCAGCTAGAACTACACGAGGACAGTCGTTACATTACTACATTCAGTACACACATCGGTCTTTTCAGATACAAAAGGCTGAACTATGGCACCAATGCAGCTGCTGAGATTTTCCAGTACACTTTACAAACCCAATTGCAAGGATTAGTCGGAGTAAAGAATATAGCTGATGACATTTTAGTATATGGCAAAACACAGAAAGAACATAACACAAACTTGAATAAATGTCTAAAACGAATCTCTGACAAAGGACTACGCTTGAATCAAGCTAAGTGTAGCTTCTTGAATGACAAACTGGAATTTTTCGGACAAGTATTTTCCAAAGACGGCAGCAAACCTGACCCCAAACGTGTAGAAGCTTTAAAGAACGCGCCGGTACCCAAAACGATTTCTGAATTCTCCTCGGCATGGCAAACTACAGTGCCAAGTATATTCCGAAATTTGCAACCATTACAGCTCCATTGCGCCAATTAACGAAGAAAAATACACCTTTCGTGTGGACCGACATTCATCAAAACGCATACAACACGTTAACTTCCACCTTAGCTTCAGCATCGTGCATGGCATATTTTGACAAAAATAAAGAGACACTGGTGACGGTTGATGCGAGTCCAGTCGGCATATCAGCAATCCTTTCGCAGAGAAACAAAGGAAAAGACGACGAGAAAGTAGTCGCATATACTCCCAAACCGAGAGAGAGGCGCTGGCTATTATTTGGGGAGTGGAACATTTTGATCTATACCTGTACGGAAACGAATTCGTTCTAATCACAGACCATAAACCACTAGAAGTAATCTACGGCAACAGAAACTCCAAAACATCAGCAAGAATAGAACGTTGGGTGTTACGCTTACAACCTTATGCTTTTCAAGTAAGATACAAGCCAGGAGCAATCCGGCTGATTATCTATCGCGCCACCCAACAGGAAAAAGCTACAAACAGCAGAAAATGACAGAGGAGCATATAAACTTTAATGCTCGCTCCAGTGTTCCGAAAGCACTGACGATAGAGGAAATCGAAGAAGTAATGAACAAGGACAAAACCTTACGAGCAGTTCGGGCAGCTATAAAGCTCAACAAGTGGCACTACGAGGTAGTCAAGCCTTATAAACAAGTAAAAGACGAACTTACTGTGACAACAAAGGGCGTGGTTCTTCGTGGTTCTCGTATAGTGATACCAGAATCGCTACAGCAACGTGCGATTGACATTGCACACGAAACTCATCTTGGCATTACCAAAACGAAATCATTAATCCGAGAAAAGATTTGGTTTCCGAATATTGATAAAATGGTGCAAGCAACAATAGAGAAGTGTATTCCTTGTCAAGCAGTGGGTAAAGCACCACCACAAGAGCCAATATCAACGACAACAATGCCAAAGGGACCATGGGAAATAATACATTTGGATTTCTACGGACCACTTCCTTCAGGAGAATACCTTCTGGTCGCAATTGATCGCTATTCCAGATATCCCGAAGTGGAAGTAGTACGCTCGAAAAGCTTCCGCGGTCATACCCAAATTAGATCAAATGTTCGCCCGTCATGGCATCCCAACAACTATCAAGACAGACAGTGGACAACCTTTCAATAGTGCAGAATATAATCGCTATTTGACAGCTCTTGGATTTAAAGGTATTCATTCAACACCTAAATGGCCCCAGGGCAATGCAGAAGCGGAAAGATTCATGCAGCCCCTTGGAAAAACGCTACGAACCACTCACATTGAAAGAAGACCCTGGTAGCAAGAGCTACATCGTTTCTTGCTACAGTACAGGACAACACCACACTCTTCCACGAAAGTTCCACCAGCGGAATTACTATTTACCCGTGCAGTGAAAGGAAAGCTTCCAGAATTGAAAAAGCGGAACTTTGTTAACAAACACAATATTGCTAAAAAGAATGAAATGGAAAGACAGCGATACAACAAAGAATATGCGAATGAAAAAAGAAACGTAAAAGAGAGTGAAATTAAGATAGGAGACTATGTCTTAGTTCGTCAGGACAAGCAGAACAAATTGACTGCGAATTACAACAACGTTCCATACGTAGTCACACACAGATCGCATTCACAGGTTAAAGCAAGAAGCAAGAACGGACACGTTATCACACGAAATGTGTCACAGTTTAAACGCATACCAAAGCCAAGGGATGATACGGACAGTGATGACGATAATGAGAAAGAACGTCATCAAAAGAGGAACAATACCATCACACTACCAGCAGCAACAAATGTTGGACATCAAGATCAAATACCGACACGACGATCGAGCCGAGTCAGAGGAAAACCTGCATGATAGATTTGGACATTCAGTATATGATTGAATTATGTTTTGTTAAATGTTAATATTGTTTTAAAAAAAAGGGTGATGTAATATACATAACTGCTATTTATAGATAATTAAGCTTGGACAATAGAATTAGAACTGATTGACAGTTAGAAACAGACAATAATATAGAAAGTGTATGGGAGCGAGAAAAAGTCAGAGCACATGAAAAGTAATATATATAATATAGAGAAACAAAATATACAGTTATACAAATCGGAGCAAGGAGTGAGATCATTATAGTTGCCATTAACAAATAATAATAATAAAAAGACTGTTGTTGACGATTTTTGTAAGCAAAATGTTATATAAGCAATTATGTACGGGCGTTGCACAACTAAACAATGAAACATTGTGAGACAATGAAGAATGCTTAATTGCATGTTAGACACTTGACACTCGGAAAGAGTGAATAGTGATTAGTCATTAGTTGAAGTTAGTGTGAGAGCAGCCTTGTTACCAGGCGCTTTAAATAAAATAAAATATAGGAACACTACAGGCTTTTTACATTGATCAGTGGCTAAGCTGAGCAGGCACGCAAGGAATTTTGGGAAGGACGCAGAGAAGGGAGTGCCTGGCAGAAAATGCATACAACATGGTGGCTCACGATTTATGAGTTCATTTCACTGTTGTTTATTATTCAAAAGTGCAAAAGCGAAACTTGTTAAGCCCTGGTCAAACGAGTATGAGAGTTGATGAGAGTTGAGAAGCGAGAGTTTGCACGAGAGTTTTCCAAACATTTTGCACTATTGTTCTGTCACTAGTCAGAGACTAGGGTGCTACGAAATGCAAACCGCTGGCGCTTTTGCAACTCTCATCAACTCTCATGACCGATCAAAACGCGCCCAAACTCTCATCAACTCTCATCAACTCTCATCAAAATTTGAACCAGTTCAAAGTCGATGAGAGTTAATGAGAGTGCACAAGAGTGTATGAGAGTTCGCGGTCAAACGCAAGCGAGAGTTGCAACTCTCATCAACTCTCATCAACTATCATTCTTGTTTGACCAAGGCTTTAAGATATTAATTCTGCCCGACTTTTTGAGAGCGATACACAGAAATATATGCATAGGGAAAATCTTATGCACGAGTGTTTAGGTATCGCACAGTCATCATTTCGAAATAAAGAATTTTCAAGCCGGGCAAAAGGCGAATCCATGCGAATTTGCAAAATTCTACATGAAGAAACAAGAAAATGTATGGAAAAGATATTTGATTATCGTAGAGCAAAGGTATGCACCTATACATTTATTTTAACTCTTATGAAGTTCTAAAATATATCATTTTTGTATTTTTATTAGAATTTAGAAAACGTCCCTTGATAGTATATTTTCTCCTCACTGGAAAAATCGAGGGAAGCCATTAACAGTGACTGTTCTACATATACATTTGGATCCATAATATATTCCACATTTCATTCCAAATCTGCGGCCAATCTGTGCCTTCTTTTATTGCATTGGCCAGCCACTTAAAAAATTATATGCTAGAATATAGTAGCCAGTAGGTATAATGCATTAATGCATTAAAAAAGATTCTAAAGATATTTTGTGTTAACACCCAAGTTCATTAGAAATGTGATAAGAGGTTATGTATCAAGTTGAATACATATATTACAAAATGCTTACTTACATGCAAACCTATTGGACTTGGATTCAAATTTCAACAACATGCAGAGACAGCGGATATTTTCCTATTTTCTTTTATTAACTGCTGACTGGTAGTATCAGGCTCTAGATGTCTTTGAAAAGGTGTTTTAAAAAAAAATATATATCATAACCTGTTGAACATAAGCCACGGCGTTGCATGTAAATGGCAATAACACAAAGAACGCTAAATATAATTATTGCCTAGCAATCTCTGTAACCCCCTCCTCTCTATCTCTGACAGTGTGCAACACCATACATGAATTATAATTGTAATATGGTATAATACAATTATTATATGGTGTGTATATGAACTATATTTTGAATTAGATTTTAATCTCAATGAGTTATGGTGATTTATTGACCCAGACTTCCATCTGCAAGAGAAGATAGCTTTAGTTGGCTGCTAGACTACATTTAGAGTATTCAAGCAAACATCTCCAGCAGGAGATAACTATATAAAATAGCTGGAAGTTTCTAAGTAGCACACAGTCTGGTTAAATTTCATTCTGGTTAAGTTTCATTCTAGTTAAAATGATCTCCTAGATTGTCGAGTTATTTTACACATTACAGTGTATATTGGTATATTACAATGAACATGTGTACAGTATTTACTGTTAAACACAGGAAGGTTGGGGCATACAAATGAAAGACATACTGTGAGGCAAATCAATGTAAATGTCAACTTCAGGTTTAAATGGCAGAGCTGGCCCAGTTAACATGCATAAAAAGTATTTGAAATATACATACTGTATGACATTTGAAAGCATAGAAACATGCGCATACATATATTCTAATGTCAATTGAAAATATACCAGCTTAATGTACTCAGCAGATAGAATAAAATTCCAACTGACTTACTTTGAACATTTTGTCTCCCAAGCGACGATAAATCCAAATCATCAGAACTTGAAGATGCTATTGCAAGGATAATTTTATCATCAGAATATGGTCGACACATATTATTATTAGCATATTCAAGAACAACACGAAAGATTCACTGACAGTCTACTCTAAAAACGTACTAAATATTACATAAAATGCAACCAAATTCTGTAAAAAAATATTTCCGTGAAATGGGAACTTCTTCAGTGATTGCTCCAGGTCATCCATATGGCCACAAACCACCAAAAACGCAAGAATGCACGAGTAAAACGCCGAAAAGCTCGATTTGAAAATATATTTTGCCAGAAATGGTATTTCTGGCAAAATATATTTGCATTTTCTGCCAGGCGCTCCATTTCTCCTTCGCGTCCTCCCCAAAATTCCTTGCGTGGTCGCTCTGCTTAGCCACTAATCTATGTAAAAAGCCTGTAGTGTTCCTATATTTTATTTTATTTAAAGCGCCCGGGAACGAGGCTGGTGTGAGAGGCAACAGCAGAAGCTGGAGGCACAATTTTTGATACATTTCTATAAAACGAAGAAGGTATTGTTGTGGTTCTAATCTAATATATGTTACTGGGCTATTCCCCCTACGCCCCGACGATTTTTCTGCATTCGTTAATTTTATTTGAAAATCGTTGGAAATCCGTCTTGAAAATTTCTTAATCTCTTTTGAGCAACCACCCACCCACGTTTCGACCAAAACCATTTAAGCGGGTTCCTTTTCTTACTTGTCTACTGCCCTAAGATTCCTATGCGGATGAAACAGGCTCTAGCGGACGTTTTTTGTAAGCAATACTAGCTCGCGAATCAATCAAGCAACGAACAACGAACCAATCCACGCGTTTTTTATCATAAGACAAAACAAAAATTAGCCTTTTATCTCTACATCAGTCAGATTTTTGCATCTCGCGGCAAAAAAGATCAAACACGTTTGAAACTCTAGAAAAGGACTGGTTGCACAGAACTCAGGAAAATCGCACGAACTGAGCCACGAGTAACCTGTAACTCAGCTGATAGCCCTCGTGTGCTCTAGGCTTTAAACGCTTATTTATCCCACCGTTCATTCAAATACGTATATCCCACTTGCACCATTGCAATATGGTCATGGCGTATGAGGTCGTTTATCTACTAGGTTAAAGCTGCATGTTTTTCTCTATATTCGCCATGTTCGCAAAACTGGGAAAGTGCTGTGTTTTTTAAACGCGGTAAAATTAAAAAATGGAGTGATACTCGATTTGATTTTAAAAATAAGCTGCATGTTAATACATAATATAACGAAGCAATTTTTCTTCATGCTAACCCGTATAAAATGCATACCTTGCATTTGTACAAATGGATTTCCAGAGCCACAAAAAGGGCCCTCACCTGACACCGTGTTGTCATACGCTTCGCATGTCAGATCATCTTCAAGAGCATCAAGTCTTGTTTCACCGTTTCCAAAAGATATATAGACACGCCCCAGTTGACTCGTTCTTACTGCGCAAAAAGGCAGGCACTGTTTGTATCGCAAATATTTAAAAGAAGATTTAGCAAGTAAATGATTTTCAGTGAGTTTATATCTTGTTTGCGTTTTGGTGCAAAAATCACGATGACTTTGCAAATTCTTTGCATTCTGGCGATACTTTTCCAAGAAATAGCTTTCTGACACTAAAAGATATGCATACAGTTTAATACACAATCAACAACGCAACAACCAGTGACACCAGTGGCGTAGCTAGCCTGACGATTTAGTCATATTATGCAAATTTTATGTTATTATAATTATTCATTTCTTTAGAAATTCATTGTTTTCACAGTAAATGAACACCAAAATATTAGCATAGCATGACTAAATTGTCGGGCTGGCTACGCCACTGAGTGACACACGGTTTTTTGATGTATAATAAATAAAAATTGATTATGTAGCTCTAGGGTTCAGAATGGTTCAACCATAACGAATTTATTTTACTCACCAAGGTTGTTTGATGAGGTGTTATAAAGTTTCCTCTCTTCGAGTTCGCCGCATTTACAAGAGGTGTGATTCAATAATATATATTTATAAAACTTCCTTTTGTGGTTAGGATCCTGTTCGTTATTGGTAAGATCTGGAACCACGATTTCGATTTGTGTCATCGTTTTTTGCACTGGATAGCTGTGAAGACATCTTATTAAGTCAAGCGAACGTCTAACCTCAACGCAACGGTAAACTTCAATGAAATACGGATATCTTGAACGCGGAGTGGTGAATTCATCATTGTAGATGGAGACCACTTCCTTTTGCGGTGCTATAAAACAAAAATATATAACCTTGTAATAAATATGTCAATGCTTACAATTTTGATTTGAATTAACTTTCTGACTTGGATCACAGAGAACCGCGAATGTATGGTTGTGCATGGTGCAATGTGCATAGTGCTTCTGTCAAAGTGTCGATCAACCACGTGCAACCCTACTTTTCCCTGTGCATAAGTTTAATTAGTTATTCCCGTCCTCACAAAGCGCTTTTGCTTAAACGTTTGGCGAAATAAAATCTGGAAGTGAAGGTAATTTAGGGCTAACGGATACCTATAATTAAAAGAGACATGGCAGAATGCTTAAGACTACAGTTTATCAATAATATCGTTAATACTAGAAAGACATGCATGCAGCAACCCCTCGCTATTTCAAACCAATACACAATTTCCTGAGGAGTCTAATTATCATCAGTCAACTATGAGAACGCATCCCTCAACTACCGCTCATATCAGATCAACTACAAAACAACCAATCAGACACGCTCAATGTATACAAAATCTTAAAGTTCTTACTGCCGTAAGTTGAAGCTGAAGAATTGCGTAAAGGTGCCAAGAATGTAATCCATGAAAGGTTTGTGTTTAATCGCCGTAATCAGCAGGAAGGTAAGCGTATCGAACGTTTTGTTGGTGACCTTAAAAGACTTGCTTTAACGTGTGACTTCGGCTTTCTCAAAAAATCCCTTATTATAGCCCGTATAGTTGGTGCTGTTTTGTCAAACAGCAAGTGTTTCGTAAAAGAACCTGATCGTACACTTCAGCAAGCACATGATATTACAAAACAATACTTGTTCGCAACGGACTTGTATTCAAAATACTTTGAAATTGAACTGTTTCGCCAAAGTACTGCGAGTTGTGTAATCAACGACTTAAAGAAAACATTTGCTAGATTTGGAGTACCAGAGAATGTTGAGAGTGATAATGGTTCTCAGTATTGTTCACCAGTAATGTGTTTTGTGATTGACACGAGTTTCAAAAACAAAATGGGGTTTTAAACATGTAACCAGCTCCCCAGAATATCCACAATCAAACGGAGAGGCTGATGGAGCCGTGCAGACAGGGAGGCGTATTTTTAGAAAGGCTGCGGCAGATAATAAAGATCCATTCGAATTAAGGTTTGCTAAAATATCGCAACAAATCGTCTGAAGATATTGGATCATCTCTTGCTCAACTTGTGACAGGATGACGAACTCGGTCAATGCTGGCAACTCACAGGCGTTTATTGCTTCCTCAGACTGCAGAATCTAAAGAGGTTGTGAAGGGGCTTCAGCATCGAAAACTGGTTTCCAAGAAATATTATGACTGGAGTGGCCGTGATCTCCCACCTTTTGTGACGATGTTTGCATTTTTGTTTGGCGTATAAACTGAGCATGAATGGTGTAATCTGTGTTACACGCCCTTCTTTTATGTTCCGCGTGTCTAACACACGTGGCTATTTCCTTCCAATCACAAGCAGAGCATTGTTATGGTAAATTTTAACTTTGCATATCATTATACGTGTTGTGAATAGTGCCTGAAATAAATCAGTCTGCCAAGTGTGGTTTGTGCAGATTAGGAGTATTGCCATTGATTGTTGCAAAGTGTATTCAAATGCATACATGTGTACTGTTCAATGTCGGTACCTAGTGCTACTATGACTACTAAACACTTACTGTAATATTCTTTCTATATCGATTTTCTATTCTAAATCTTGTATTTCTTAACCCTTCTACAATACTCTCTTATTTATACATCCTTAATTAGTCCTGTCAACATAATGTCAATCATCTCTATTTCAGTATTTGCTGCCTTGCCCCAGCGAGGCAGCACACTATTCTTGACGAACGGTGGTTTCGCCCCCAGTCCACACGCGCGAGTTATGTAAAGTCGTCGCTCGAAATTTTATTTGTCCGGATTTTAAAACCGGGGGAGTTTTTCATAAAGTTTACATGAGAATTCGGGGGTGCGTCCCGTTTCCCGCTCGTTTTGCCACGCCGTCGTCCAGTCGCCCTTTTCGTTCTTGGTTGCGGCGAAGGCAGTTGGTTTTTTTACAGTAATAGGCATATTAGAGGTGAGTTGGTAAAAATATTTTATATCATCTTTATAGATGTTTGTGACTTGCCAGTTGGCGTATTAAATTAAAGTTTAAATACAGTATTTGAGAATTGCCCATATCGTGGATCATCTTGTATACGGCATGGCCACGTTTTATATTTACATATTTTTCGTCTCCATTTGACCATCTGAAATATCTGCCCAATCCTTATTCAATTGCGTGTGGTTTTTGTTGTTTTTTGAAGCAAAATATTCAAAATTACTACCCATTAGTCCATTACTGTATTTTTTTTCGTATATGCCTGGGTTTGGGGCGTCTTGTACAGCATGGCCATATTCATATATTTACATATTTTTCGTCTTGATTCGACCATCCTGAAATATCTAGCCAATCCTCGTTCAATTGCTTTTGGTTTTTGTTGTTTTGTAAAACAAAACATTCAAAATTACTATCCCTTTCTGTATTTTTTTAAAAAAAGAAAAAAAAATTGGGGGGGCATCTTGTATACGGCATGGCCATCTTTATACAGTCACTAGGTCAAAAGGGGCGTCTTGTATACGGCATCATGTTTTATATTATATATTTTTCGGCCCGTTTCGACCATCCTGAAATATTTCGCGAATCTTCATTCAACTGCTTTTAATCTCGATTCGATCGTGCTGAAATACATGCCCAAACCAGTGATTCAATTGCTTTTCTTTCTTGTTCGTTTGTAAAAGACATCTTCTATACAGCGTGGCCATGTTTTATGATTTAGGCATCCTAAAATACTAACTTTGGTACTTCATATATTAAATAGGAGCCTTTAGAGCTTTGCTTGTACTGTGTTCAAGTTTTAGACTTCCTGAAATATTTCGCGAATCTTCATTCAACTGCTTTTAATCTCGATTCGATCGTGCTGAAATACATGCCCAAACCAGTCATTCAATTGCTCTTCTTTCTTGTTCTTTTTGAAGCAAGATATTCAGAATTACTACCCTTCGTGGACTTCGTTTGTAAAAGACATCTTCTATACAGCGTGGCCATGTTTTATGATTTAGGCATCCTAAAATACCAATCTTGGTACTTCATATATTAAATAGCAGCCTTTAGAGCTTTGCTTGTACTGTGTTCAAGTTTTAGACTTCGTCCTCTTATGCATTCTTGTATACTGTTTTTTTAGGATAATTTGAAATTGAGGGCCATCATGGAAAACAGTAAGAAACGTTTTCTACTTATAATAGAATTCAATCTATTTACTTTACTTCACAGTACTATTATGGGCTGATTGCATGGAGAGTTTTTATATTTGACTGGTGTATCCGTTGAATTCAAAAGGAGTTATACCATAGGCAGCCCAACAATCTGCATGCCGTGACATATATCATCTGTGTATATATAATATATACACAGATTATATGTCATGGCGAGCGGATTGTTGGGCTGCCTACAGGTTTTCATTTATGCTATTACTAGGACCTTTATTATTCAAATTTGGCTTTCACTTGAAATTTTTGCACACAAATGTCAATTTTTGAAATACAGCCTGCTATGACGATTGTTCTTGTGTTATTGAAAACATTGGTATTGTCTTTACAACCAAATCTTACTTTAATGCAAATATGTTCTACTGTATGTGCATTAAAGTGTGACTTGGTCATAATGACAATATAGCATAATGGAAAACCTGCATAACTGCTATTGTGCTGACTGATGTGCATAAAACTAAAACCTAACAATTCATTTTAAATAACAAATATATTTTATTAGGGATCAAACAGAAATAAGGGAGGAGGGATGAAAAACAACAACTCAGCCCGGATTTATTTTATACTGATTGAGCTACATATCACAATTATTTACTTAATTTTAGAAAAAGAGATCGTCTGTTATGTGCATGATGTTCTGGCCATCCAGAAAGCTGGCAAAGTTAATTATACAACTTGCAACCTCCAAACCACTCCAGATACAAAAGTGAAAGCTGTTTGCTTTTCGCCAGAGAAAGTTGCACCGTTAAGAAAGGCCATGGAAAATAGAAGCCCAGTAAAAGTTCAAAGATTCGAATACAATGACAAATTTAACAATATTGTGATAAAAAAGTCTACAACAGTTACAGATCATAATGGGCCATTGTCCTTTGCCCCTACAGAGTCACCCACAAGTCCATTGGTTACCATATCTGTGATTAAAACAACATCAGTTAACCAGCTTATTTTGCTAAAAGCCAAGGTAAAACATTTAGCAGCCTTAAAAGTGGTGAAGATGGAAACGGGTTCAGTTAAAAAACGTACTTGCATTCTACAAGACCCATCTGGAACAATCAAGGCCATTCTTTGGGAAGAATGGGTCGAAAGCGTTGAAGATGAAAAGACCTACCTATTCCAAAACTTAAGGGTGAAAAAAGACAATTATACAAAATGAAGTTTATGTCAACACAGCAAAATATGGTTTCAGTGTCAAAGAGTGTGCCTCCTTTCATGAACAGTTGCCAGATGTTGGCCCACCTATAACTGATTTAGTTGCAAAACAGGCAGTTGTGTCCATCATTGGGGTTAAGAGCCTAAGTAAGTACAAATCCTGCAATGCCTGTGGAAAGAAGATTGAGGGTCAGGGCACAGTGAACACTGTCAGGTGCGAGTCATGTAAGATGAAGCAACGAGTATCACAGGAAAATACAATGTGGTATGCTCGGCTGTTTCTACAGAATGTTGAAACAAAGGAAAAGTTTTACGTCACCGTTTTCCACACCATGTTCATCAGAATCTTGGAGGTAAATAAGATTCAAATCACGCCTGAAGACGACGAAGAAGCCATTTCAGATCGACTGCTAGATTGTAACAATATTACAATTACTTATAATATTGGTGAAGGTAAAATTATTGATGTACTCAATTCTATTTAGTGAATTCAAAGAGACCTGTAGACCAATACTGGACTCATTCTTATAACCATTCCCTATTTCTAAATTAAGTTTTGTTTGTTAAAGTTCTTTGGTATAGACATTCGTATATATACCATATATAGTATAATGAACTTGGCACTTATTGGACAAGATGTAAACTTAAAAGACATTAGTAAAATAATATATATATAGTTTGTTGAAATTTAGGTTTAAGAGGTTAAAACATTTTAGTAGACTAATATGTAGTTTCAATTGTTGTTAGAGGTTATGAACACATGGTTTATTTTAATTTTCCAGATAAACTTCCAAAAGAACATTTTATTCATTGTGAATGTCAGTATGTGTCAAAATGCAAAATAATTTATGGGGAATTGTCATGTTAATTGGAATATTAAACATGATATTGATTTCC